CTGCTCCAGTCATTTATTTTTACTGTGTTTACCTTTCAAATATGTTTCTTGTAAAGAACACTTTGTTGGATTCTAATTCATTCAGCTATCCAATTCTGTTTTATGGGTGAATTCATTCAATTCATATTCATAGTTATGATTACTATGTATTTCCCTCCATCCCCTATTTTCTTGGAATATGATGTTCCTGAAGGCAAAGGAGCTAGGATTACAACCAAGAATAGTCCACCCAGGAAAACTAATCATAATCCTATAGGGGAAAAAATGGATACTTAATGAAATAGAGGACTTTCAAGCACTCCTGATGAAAACACCAGAGCTGAATAGAAAATCTGACATTCAAACACAAGATTCAAGAGACATAAAAAGATTAACATGAGTGAGAAATCAAAGGGAAAACTAAACAAGGCTAAACTGTGCTTGTAAACTTCCTATATAGGAAATATGTGTGTGTGTGTGTATACATATATTTATATATGTATATGTATACACACACATATACACACACACATATACATACACACATACATATACATACACTCATACACACACACACGTTATTTATGTATGTATGTATGTATGTATAACCCCTAAGAACTTTATTATCACTAGGGCAGTTAGAGGGAGTCTACAGTTAGAGAGAGTCAACAGAGGGCATGGGTGATAGGCTATTATGCTGAGATGTTCTCAAAAGAAGAAGAGAGGGGTGAAGGGAAGGAAGAATGGGGAAAATCATCTCACTTAAATAAGGCATATGAGGAAAAGTTTATATGACAGAGGAGAGAAGGGGGCAAAGCATCTCATCTGAACTGGTTCAAAAAGGAAAGAATACACATACAGAACTTAATTTTATCCAAGAGGAAAGTGGTAGGGAAAGGGGCTAAGAGAAAAATGGGGGAGAGCTGGATGAAAGGAAGGGAGGCAGCAATCAGAAGTAAAACTGACTCTTGAGGAGGAAGCAAAATGTCAAAAATGGAAGGATAAATATAAGAGAATGGAATGGAGGGAAATACATAGCAATTGTGAATGTGAATGGGATGAATTCACCTATTAAATGGAAGATAAGAGAAAGCATTTAGGAATTAGAATTATTAAATTCTCTCTAGATCTATTTTCCAGGCCAGTTGTTTTTCCTCTGAAATTTTTCATGTTTTCTATTTTTTCAGTCTTTTGATTTGTTTTACTGTTTCTTAATGTGTCATGGAGTCATTAGCTTACATTTGGCCAATTTGAATTTTTAAGGAGTTATTTTCCTTAATGAGGTTTTTATAGCTCTTTTACCATTTGGCCAATTCTATTTTTAGAGTTGTTTTCTTCAACTTTTTATGCCTCTTTTACCACACTCAATTCTCTTTTTGTAACTTTCTTGCATTGGTCTCATTTATTTTCCCAATTTTTCCTCTACTGCTCATATGTGATTTTTAGAATAATTTCCTTTTTTTGCTCTTAAAAAACCAAAACAAAACCAAACCCTTCTTTGTTTAGCTCTTCTGGGAATTCTTGTAGGGCCTGTGTCCAATCTGTATGTTTTTCACTCTGAGGGTTTGCTGGTAGATGTTAAGTCATTGTCTTCTTCTGAGTTTGTATTGGGAGCTTCTCTGTCACCACAGTAGCTTTTTATGGCCAGGTTCTTTCTCTGTTGTCGTTTGCTTATTTTTCCAGCCTACTTCATGCCACTGGACTTTGTCATCCTTGGGCTCTGCTTATCTCTGGGGTGGGGGTAAGGGGGATGATTAACCCGAGTTTCTGTCTTTCATGTCCTCCTGCTGCTTTCACAGCTGAGGGCCTGTAAATTTTCAGTGTCTCTAATGTAGTATAACCTGGGGAGAAGTCTGTTCACTGCCCTCATACTCTCCTGGAACTGCAACCTATAACTAGGTAATGAGAAAGAGGTGTGAGATGGCACCCATTCTGCTTCCTAATACAGGAGTCCCCCAGCATCTTTGCCTAGGTGTTCAGTCCTTTTACCTTCCCTGGGCACTGGGCTGCTCCCTACTGTTGCTGCCATGGCCTAGTGCTACTTCTGCTACGCAGTATTCTAGGCCAGCTCCATCCCCAGTGTTCACAGATCTATTTTCCTAAGCTGCCCTGGGCTGAAAAAATGACTCATTGTGAATTTTTCTTGGCTTTTGCACCGGAATTCAGTTTGGTACCTTTTTAGGTTGTTGTGGAAAAGATTTTTGGGGAGCTATGGCAAAGTTGCTAAGCTCTCCAGGTTCATGAGGATTTCTTTGCAATAAGTAGGAAAATTCTGTCCCTTGTCATGTTTAAAAACTTCGCAACTTATATAATGGAACCAATTGTTTAACTTGGGCCTGTGTAACTCATTTTTGTAATAAAACTGAAAATAGCAATATTGTCTAGTCTCACATTCCCTCATTTAAACAGAGGTGAAGGCTAACAAGGTTCAGCCTGATATAACAGAAATCTGATGTCTCAGTCCTGGGAACTAAAGCCGTGGGAACATCTGACCATGTCTGTCCCTGCTTGGTGCTCATTCTGTAAAGCTCTGTGTTCATTTAAGAGAACATTACCCTCTGAGCTACCCTCCATAATGCTCCAAAGAAAGGGAAGGTTAACTAATAATGCATAGCTGTACCACTGAGGTAGCCTTTGGTTGGAGAGCTAGGATTCCCTGCAATGATTTGCACCTACAGATCAGGGAGGAGTTTCTTTTTGGAGAGATGGCAGGGCACTTTATTTCACAGGGTCAGTGTTGTCTGACCAGCCTAAAACTGTTTCCAGATTTGTCCCTTTAGAAAAATGGGTAGAATATAGCCTACATCAAATTGCTTGGCTTCTTAATGTGGGAGGAGAAGACAAAGAGAATTTGGAACTCAAAATTTTAAAAAATGAGTGTTAAAAATTCTTTTTACTTATAACTGGAAAAATAAAATATTTTTTAAAAGTGGACTGAACAACAGAGTAACTTCTGTCTGGCCCCCCCTTAATTGCATTGCCACCTACTAGAAGTGACTGGCCCAAGACCACATTTTCCTCCATTGGGAAAGGATTAAAATACCAATGGGAGGAAGGAGGTCCCTTTTAAAAACACAAAAACCCTCCATGAATGAGGGTAGTGGTCCAGGAAGAATAGGATAGTGACATGGTTGCTGAAGTCTGTTAACTCTGGCTTATTTTAAATCTTTTCCTTGTTCAAGATTCCTATAAATTCTACTTGAAAACTGTGGTGGGGCAATCAGTGTCTGATGACGTGGGAAATGCTATGCCGGTTTGGATATCTCTCCAAGCTAGAAATGGCTTGGATATAATGTTAAAATAGAACTGTATCTTGCAGACTCAAGGCTTTTTCCTCCCTCAATACCTGCATGAGTGCATGTGTAGACAAACACACACAAATCAGAACATGTATTGTCATGCCAGCCTTTACTCAAATTAAACTTTTGACAAGGGAACAGATCTCTATTAACTGCAGTTTATCACTTGCAACATCTGTCCAACGGCATGTGATGGTCAGTATTTTTTTTAAACTTTTAATGTTATAGAATGTATTTAACTTCTTTAAAAAGCAGAATGAACATCCTACACCACAGACTACAGTGGAAGGGGCTAATAAAAGACTGAATTAGAGTGAGAGCCAGGATTCGAACCTAGGTCCTTCACACTGAAAATTCAAAACTCTTTCTACTACACAGTGCATGGTCTGTGCTGGGAGTGGATTGCGGTGAGAATGTACCAAGCAGTCATATCGAGTTTGTAGAACCAAGCAGCAGTAAAGTTTCAAATGTAACAGTGATGGTGCAGGAGCCCCTTTTTTCTCCCCTGCGGCCCTACAAACACGCTAAGTTAGCACTGAGAACAGCCACAACAGCAACTTCTGTTGTCGGGAAGGCCTAGCTGCAGGAACAAACCTCAGCAAATGTGCCTTCTTGGGCGCTGCACTAGATGATAGGAGAGTGGGCCAGAATAAAATCATCCTTTAGGGAAGAGGTGTGGCCTATTTATATTCATTTCATTGCATTCTATTGTTGTCCCAAGCAGCACCAGGCCAGGTACAGGTTCTCCTAGTTGGCTGACTCCACATGCATTATGTTCTAGGTTACATGAAACCTTGGCTACAAAAAGGCTACTTATAGAGTCCTTTTTCTATCCAACTATAGAATTCCATGATTCCAACACAAAGAAAGATATAAAGTGCAGGAAATAGGAAAACATCAGTGTGGCCTACAAGTTAACTCTGTAGTTGCCTTTGCACTGTTGCCACAACTACTATCTTAATGAAGTGGAGGGTCCTTAGAACCATGGTTTAACCTACAAATAACTATCACTGGCAAAAACACTACAATAGCTTTGATCCTCCTTCCTCACTTTCCCATCATGAATTATTTGTCTAAGTGAGTGGCTCACAGTGGATCCCTGGATGCTTTTAGGATTCTGAAAGGTCAAAACTTTTCACAATAGTACTAATACATTTTAATTTCTAATACAATAAGAATAGATATAACCCATATAAACATAAGCTCTTGGGAGGTGGGGATCATCAGTAATTTTTATGGGCATAAACAAGTCCTGAGACCAGAAAACCTCAAAAACTGCTGACTGAGAACCCTGTTCTGTTCAGAGCAGAATTCATAGTAGGCAATTAATATTATCCTGATAATTTCTACTGTCCTTTTCCAGCTTTAACATTGTGCTGCCATAAAGACTGTGTTGGCTGGGGGAAGAGGTTCTTACTAACACTAGATTTGAAAAACTGGAGAGCGAAAGACGGATTTCCCAGGGGCAAGAACTAAGCTGGGGTTTCAAGAAACAGTCCAGCCAAGCCTTGTGTTGTGGCAATTTCTATGGAGTGGATTCTGAAGGAAGTTAAAACTGGATAAAGTTTAACATTTAAGTATAGTCCCTTCTGCTGGTAGCTTATTTTAGGGAATGCAAGTCTTCTTAAAATAGTGAAGGCAAGAACGAAGGATGGTAGTGAAACTCATTTGTAATGAAAATAAAGGAATCTTGTCTATTGTGAATGATAAAAATCAACATTATTCAGGTGAAACAAAACAGTTTGCTTTATTTTAAGACAGTAACGTCTTTAAATCTGTCACAGGCCTAAGTTCAATACCAGTGCAAATATATACCTTTCAGAAGGCCAAAATATTTATGAAAGTAGGTGCTTTGAAATTTTTTTAAAGGGTAGCCTCTTAGAATACGTAAAACAGATACAACTTCAAAAACAGATACAACTTCAAAATGCATGTTAACAACATGTTAAAATAAGTAGTCACAGTTCAAAATTAAAGCTGAATAATCAAAACCCTTCAAGCATATACGTTAATTAAACTTTAATATTTAGGAGGCCGTTGCACATATTTTTAAATAACTTAAAAGTGAAAACTCCCCCCACTTCCAAAGAAGTGAAGGATTTTCCCGAGGAGATAAGAATTTTAAATTCAATGAGTAAAAAAATATCATGGTTAAAGATTTTCAGGCACTGACTCTAGCTGAATTTGTCAGGTGGAGACGCATAGCACTGTTGGTGCTATTAAAAATGTAATCAAGGGCTGTAAGTAGGAAATGTATCTTAAAATAGCAGAAAGTGTTTAATATTAATATCTGGGATTTCTGCTTTTTGACACTGTTCTAGGAAACAGCACAGTGACCAAATATATACCAATAGGAAGTTACTTCTTCTTACTGCTAGATCCACAACTCCTTACTCTCATCTATTAAGTTCACTAACAATCAAACACTTTCTGAAACACTCAAACATCATATTTTTACAAGGATTACATTTTTTGAAATCCTTCACTGTGTTGATATTTTAGAATTATCTACTGAACAAACAATGAACCATCAAAAGGGGAAAAAACACAGTGATACATTTGGTCTTTCCAAACAAAAGGATTCTCAGTCATAAACTAACTCCATTTCTCCCTTTCCTCTTGCATTTTTTTCACTTGGTACTGGGTGGCACAAGATGAAAGAAGCCTTCAAGGTCATCCTCTTCAACTTCAAAAACGAAGTTTTGACACATTTCAGCAGTAAGTTGTCTTCTTGCAACTTTTTGACCTCTAACTCCCAACAAGTATGAGAGAGAAATTAGAGTTTTAAGTAAACCTTGAGATCTGTTTCAGGCAAGAAGATTCAAATCTCAAATTAAATGTTTCACTGCAACAACTTATGTTATACCAGCTGTTCCATCATTGCAGACAAAATTAATATTTAATATGAAGATAACTTAACAGTACTTCATTACCATCATCACAAACTGTTTTAAATCTGTCAAATACATGCAAATAAAACATTTGTACAGATAAATTAGTGTTTAGGAATTAAAAACCTCAGAGTAATATCCACAAATGTTCTGAAATCTAAACATTTTTTAAAGAATGGACAATTTAAATCGAAGCAACTTGGATACATTAAAACTTGTCAGAATCCATACATTCCATGAGTGACTCCAGAAAAGATCATCTTTCAGAAATAAAAAATAGTGTTGTGTTTTTTTTTCATGGTTTAATTTACTTTTTGGTTTCACAGGTAGCCACTGAACATAAAAATCAAGGATTTACTAAATAATGTTGATTTCTACCAGCTTTACTTAACCCTAACTAAACAACAGTTCAGCAAAATAGTCTTTGCCTTCTACTTAGTGTCTACTTAGGAATGTGAAACATTTTCAATTAAAGACTTCATTTTTCCTGTAGACTTCAACATGTGTGGCCCAAACTGGAAAAGAAACAAATAGAAGGAATTATTATAAGCGTATTGTTCAATAACAGCAATAATATCCTCCATACAACACATTAGGCATGATTATTGATAAATATTTCTGGAATGAAAGTTCAAATAACTTAATAATATTAAAATCTCTCAGCAATAGCACATCTAGGACCATATCCCAGAAGACATTAAACAAATGGGAAAAGGACTCACATGTACAAAAATATTCTTAGCAGCTCTTTTTGTGGTGGCAAAGAACTGGAAATTGAGAGGACGCCCATCAATGGGGGAACGGCTGAGCAAGTTGTGGTATATGAATGTAACAGAATACTGTTGTGCTATAAGAAATGATGAACAGACTGACTTCAGAAAAACCTGGAAGGACTTGTATGGTCTGATGCTGAGTGAAGTGAGCAGCACCAGGAGAACATTGTACATAGTAACAGCAACGTTGTGCGATGACTAATATTGATAAACTTAACCCCTGTCAGCAATACAAGGCCTTGTGATGGAAAATGCTATCCACAAAGAAGAAAGAACTATGGAGTTTAAATGCAGGTTGAAGCATACTATTTGCTATTTTTTTCATGTTGTATTTTGTTTCCTCTTTCTGGTGGTTCCTTCTATTGGTTCTAATTCTTACTTATAACATCAAAAAAAAATCTTAATTAAAAAAGTTAGCACTGTGAACACAAAAGTGCCTATCCTGATAACCAAAGTAATCAATCCCTGAAAAATAGGTATTACTTATTCCATACTTAAATTATTTCCATTTTAGCTCCCCTCCAAATCCTAGCTCAAATGTCATCTCCATGAAACCACCCCCAATCACTCTAGCCAAGTGATTTCTCCTTCCTCTCTACTTCTATGGCTTTAGTGACTGTACCACGAAGAAATATCATGATACAAGGCTGCCTATGAATTTGTGTACATGTCAAATAAGAAAATGAGAAAATGTTTTGAAAACTATAAAATGCTATGCAAAAAAGTAAGGTGGTAATATACTATCTTTGTATGATCCCATCTGCATTTTCAGATACTGGAAAGCACATCATAGCAAGATTTATTTAAGGGGGAGGGGACTGATATCTCTCAACATTACTTTGGACAGTACAAATACATGGTAGTCATTTAATCAATATTTATGACATGAATGCAATATGACCAGAAAGGAAACAGTACCTACCAACATTGTTTCTGAGGTGGTCTTTGATTCAGATGTTGGAATGGATTTTTCAGTTTCAGTTTGGCCATCATTTCGGTACCGATAAGCAAATTTTTTTTTCAAAGCTTCTGCAATCAGGGTTGCAGGGTCAGCAGGATCCACGGGTTTTGGTTTTAAGTCGTGCTCTGATCTTAAAGAGGTTAAAAAAAAAAGGTCAAATTTTAACGTGCTATAAATCTTCTGGTGAGAGACTGTCCAGCTTTACGTACTGAATACTGTGAACAGTATTCAATATGTCATATGCTAAATAAGGGTAATTTCTCTATAACATTGAGAAAGTGAAGTCTAGGCATGGGTAAAAGAGCTGTGCTTTACTAAGTCAACCTTTTTTTGTATACCAGATGACTGCACTCTGATTCAATGCTTTGTGAAGCAGTAACAATAAAGATTTGTATTTCAGAAGAAACACTTTACTTTTAAATATGTGGAGAAAATATTAAAATTAAAATAACCTTGACTTGAAGGTGTTCCTTCCTAGTCTCTTAAGAGGGCTGAAGCTAGGGCCCATTCACTGTAAACAAATTATTATGAACTAATAAACATTAAGAGTCAGGCATTTTGTGTGATCCAAAAAAAAATCCGGGGTTCTACAATCATACAAAAATATAGGTGTGAGAGAGAATGGAAGACAGAGAACATGTATACACATTTCACCTTTTCACAGACCGAAGTTTTACACTATTCATGTCTTTCAGAATTTCTAGCATATTTGGCACATCAATTTTCTTTGGGTTATTTTCTGTCCATATCTTTCCAGCACTAGTTTTCTTCTCTCTTCTCTCTTTAATCAGATCAATAGCAGATATACTTTGGTGTAGTCCTGGTGAAGGAAGAGGAGGTGGCGGTGGCGGTGGCGGTGGAGGTAGTGGTGGTGGTGGAGCAGCAGCAGGTGGTGCTGGGGCAACTGTAGGTGTGGTGGGACTTAAGACACCTACACAAATAATAATCACAACGAAATTAATGCTATTTTGACCCTGAAACAAACAATATTCTAGATTTATTTTTTTAAAATATTTTTGGAAATATTTAAATGTTTTCTGGTATGTGACAAAGTACTGAAATCACAATACGCTTTTTGTTATTTTGGTTACATAAGTGGAAATGAGGTTTCAGTTACTTTGTTATAAATGCCCAAATCTAGGTTACAGTAGTTTTCCATCCAAAGCTTTCCAGAATGGAAAAGTTCCTGCTTTTACAGGGGTGCCTTTGTGATCTCAAATGTTCAAGTTTGGATTCATACCAATAGTGGCTGCAAACTGTGCCATACTGAATGGCAATTAATGCCACACAAACAGTCCTTTAAAATTTATGCTGTTTGACAATTTATAAGATCAAATGTATGATGTACATTGGCATTTGTCTAATTTACATTTAAACTGCTAACTTAAATTCATTTTTTATATTATATTTTAAAAGACAAATTGATGATTCAAGTTAAGTTATTCAAATCATAATCATTATAGGTCGACAAAATAATGGTGACAGAAGAGAATCCATCTATTTTATGTTATCCAACACAGAAAGCTTAAGACCAACAAATTATTTTATTTAACTACAGTAGAAATTATATGGACTTGAGCTTTCTACACAATTTGAATTTAAGACAGTAATTTGGGGCTACTGGGAGGAAAGTACCTTAATCCAAAATCTTAAGATCTGGATAATGTAATATAATTAAAGTGCATGGTTGTGTACAGGAATGCACCCCCCCGCCCCAATGTAAACTCACATTTGTGGCAGTTTTTCCAATCTACCAGCAGAGGGGGGTAGAGCCAAACAATAATTTAAAAAGTTACAAAACCAAAAAGACTATAGGGGAAAGTTAACTGTCTGGGCAAAGTTTATTAAATGAATAAGAGACTAACCCACATAAAAGAGAATAAGAGGCAAAGTGATTTTTCTCACAAGTTGGTTAACAAAGCCACCTAATGTTAAAAAGTACACTGAATTATATGGGTTAACTGTCCTGTCTTTTGACTTCAGGCAGTTTTCTCAACTATAAAAAAGTGACACACAATTACAAGTCAATGGAGTAGGGAGTGGGGATTGAAATGCTACAGCCCATCTCTTCCAACGTCTATTTCTCACTAACAATGATTAAAAGCAGTGAAAGTATTATCCCTCTCTATTTCATAGATGAGTAAACTGAGGCTCGGTGAGTTTAAATGACCTGCCCAAGGTCAGAGCTCTAACAGGCAGAGCTGGAACTCAAACATGAGTCTATCCACTCCACGTCTGTCTTTCCACTTTACCATACTGCCAGACTAGTATGCAGGTAATTAATTTGGGTGTTGTTAGAGCATGTGTCTCTTTCTAATCTGTCCTCAAACTTATTAGGTGTGTTACCCTAGGCAAGTCATTTAACCTGTCTGCCTCAGTTTCCTTAACTGTAAAATGGAGATAATAATAGCACCTTCCTAGATGGTATTTGTAAAGGACTTACTTAGCACAGTGCCTGCCTGGTACGTAACAGGTACTATATAAATGCTTATTCCTTTCACTTCCCTCACTTGCTATTTGGCATAATTTGTCAACATATAATCAAAAGTTAGCCATATTAAAAGAAAGCATTTGTGTGGAGTCATGTTACTATGTAAACTTCTTTTGACTCAATGGAGACTATATTCCCCAAATCCATTATTCTCCAGTGGCATGGACATTATTATAAAAAAGCATCGACCAAGTGCTTTACTGGGCATGCTGCCCAGGTAGTTAATGTCCAAAAAAACCTGATATTTAGCCGATGATAAAAATCATGGCATGCGAATTTTAAGACAAGTGACTTCCTTATACTGATTTCTATTTTATCTGTCTGAAGAAAAGAAGTACAAGATTCAAATACCTGGAGTAAGACCCTGCTGTTCTTGCAAAGTCACGATTTTGGCAATCTGTGCTCGGAGAGTAGCCAGTTCATGTTCAAGTGCACTGATCTTCTGCAACGCTTCGTCATTGGCTAAAACTGTCACTTTGGGTTCTGGATCTTCCTGGGCGAGGTTTGGCAAAGAAACTTGTCTGTTTAGGGGCTTCTCAAAGAAATGAAGTTCATCTGGAGGGGCTTGCTTTGACCTAATCTCTGTTCTGTGAGAAAGACAGAAAGACAAAAAAATGTGGGCTGTCCTGGGCTTTGGTGAGTCTGGGTCGCTACGACACATTGTCAGTAAATGTGCTCAGCAAGTGGGGCCTTTAAGGTCTGTCCCCTCTAAAGTGCAGCAATATGAAAGAGAGTTCAAAGAATCACGAGGATGAGACAGTGAGAGGATAAAAAACTAAAGAAAAGAAGCTTTTTCAGTAAAAACAAACCAGTCCTGAATTGGTCTCAGCAACTGGAATAGAGAAGTTGATTACTGGTAACATCAGTAACTCCATACCACACTTTAGCCTGGGCTATCTGATCTACAACGCCAAGATCAGCAGCAGCTACAGCAAATGATATAACTTTTATTTAACTCCTGATAATCTACTCTTAATTGCTAGGTACAGTCCTCTATCTGTCATTGGCCACACAGGGTTATTATAAGGGGAATTTGTATATCAAGCATACTCCAACCGCCATTACTAGGAATAAAATATTTTTAAATTCCCCCTCCCAACCCTACATTTAACATTAACTAGATGGGATGGTTCAGGTAACTCCAAGGGCTTCCATTTAGCCCTATCAGCAATGCCCAGCATAGAAATTACTACTGTAAATACTCAGAACAGGTACTCTAAGAATTCATAATATTAATGTCCACAATACACTGATCAGGCACTATAACTGAGGCCAAACAGGGGGCTGTTTTCTACCAACCTCTTTCCTTTGGTGATTAGCCCTCCAAAGCCCCTAAAATAAAGTGGGGTACCCTTTTTAAAATCACAGAAGATGTTCTGGTAATAGCAGTAGCCTGGCTGCTAGTATCTAGCATTCCCTTTTATGTATTTCAGACCCTACTTCTCCCAAAGCAATAGTAATTTGGGTATACAGTCTGTGTTATCCGGGGTAGAAGGGTTGGGGGAGGACAGAAACCTTGGATCTCCTCATTAGGAGACTTACTACAGAGTAACTCAATATGAATACAAAGACTTCTGTGATCGTAAATAAATAGGGGGGAGGGGGAGAGAGAGAGAGAGAGAGAGAGAGAGGGAGAGAGAGGGAGGGAGAGAGGGAGGGAGAGAGGGAGGGAGAGGGAGAGAGGGAGGGAGGGAGGGAGGGAGAGGGAGGAGGGGAGAGGGAGAGGGAGAGGGAGGGAGAGGGAGAGAGGGGGAGGGCGAGAGAGAGAGAGGGAGAGGGAGAGGAGAGAGAGGAGAGAGGAGAGAGAGAGAGAGAGAGAGAGGAGAGAGAGAGAGAGAGAGAGAGAGAGAGGAGAGAGAGAGAGAGAGAGAGAGAGAGAGAGAGCGAGAGAGCGCGAGAGCACCCTCGTGCTCAAGCACATGTGTTTAAGGCAGGGATTAATTAGGTGAGGTGAGAGCTTTTAGGAATGTCCAAAGTTTTGGTAGGGTAGAAAGACCCTTACTACCCTTGTTCAGATGGATCAATCATCTTATCTACTCCATGTTTTAAGACTCATATTCAAAGTTCCTTATGGGAAAGACTTTGATCATGTGCTGAGGGTGCAAATCACACCCATCATCCTAAGAGTGCCTATTTCTGTGGACAGCCAGGAAAACTAACTTCACCTGAAGCAGGTAGGTCATAAGGAATGGGGGGCTTTGCAGCATAAATCAAACCCATCAAATCAGAATTCCCCACTTTATAAACCACCTGAAACTAATTCATCTGCACATAAACTCCTAGATGGAATTCTTTAACTGAGGAATGTTCTAAATCGCTCCATTAGATGATACCATCATTAGCTACTGTTCTAAAGTTTCAATGACTTCTTTAAATTTCTCTTGTAACCTCTGAAGTCCCTTAATATAAAAAGGCCACCCAACCCAACTCTCTATCCCTCATACCACAAGACATTCCCCAAGAAGTAATATAGGGGGTAGCAGCTCTTTTACCTCCTGCTCTGATTCCCAATCATGACTACCTCTATTATCCTGTTTTATAGCACTCAATTCCATAGGTTCAAGGCATTCTTCAGAGAAACATCTGAGTCAGAAAGCAAAATTTCCTCTTGTAGCCTATTAGTCCCTGACTCCATTAACACTGACCTCTTCATGTGGGTAATCAGCAAATCCGTTAGGCAGTCTTCTGAATTCAGTGATTTAAAAAAAAAAAAAGCAAAAGCTCATTTACATCTTCTCATTACTTAATCCTTAGAGACAACTTATATTCTTTCTCCTTACTCTGGCCATACAGTTTTCTTTTCCATGGATGCCAGCAGGAACTAAACAATGCTTTCCACATTTAGGCTTTCTTCTAATACAGTAGGAACTACTCCTACTCCAGAAAGTAGGTTTTCCACATAATCTTTGCCACTGGGAAAAAAGAACCTGTTTCTAACTAGCCTATGATCCAGGGCTCTCTTTCTTCTATATCTCTATTTAAAAAATGAATCTGACCTTCAGGTCACCAAAAAAAAAACCCAAACACCACTCTATCTCCCCGTCAATCAAACTCTCAAACTCCTCTGCTCACAGCACCAAATATTTCGGGCTAGGCCTAAATTTAGCAGTTGCCAATCATAAGAATCCAATTTAAATGACTTTAATAATTAAATATTAAAAGTACAATACAAGAATGGAAAGGACATTGAACTATACAATACTCCTTCCTTTCCACAGACATCAAAATCAAGAACTTAAAATATTAGCTATTATTACTATTACTGTCACCTGGCAGGGCTGAGCCACATGGCCACCAAAACTACTAATAGCCCAGAGAACCCACCCACCTAAATATCTACCACAAAGATTAACCTTAGCTAAGCCACCCTTAGGCTTTCATTGCATTCCTCTCTCCTACTGTCTGCCGATCTCCATCTAGGTCACAAGAGTCTCCCAAGGCTGTCCTGAGCCTTCTTCTCTTCTCCCTCTATACAATTTTGCTTGTGATCTCTTCAGCTCCCATAGATGATCATCTCTATAAAGATGATTTTAAGATTTACTTATCCAGCCCTGACTTTTGTCCTTTAGTTTCAAATCTCCAACTGCCTATTGGATATCTTTGAAACTGGATGTCCTGTAGACATCTTAAACTCAACATATCCCAAAATTAACTCAGTCTCTTTTCCCAAAAACCCTTCTTTCTTCCAAACTTTCCCATTACTGTCAAGGGCTCACAACTTAGGTGTCATCCTCAAGTTCTCACTTTCTGTTACCCCTCTATGCAATTAGTTGCAAACTTCAGTTGTTTTTTCCTACCTTTGTAACTAACCTTTCTTCCTTCTTTTCCTTCACATCAACACCACCCCAATGCAGGAACTTATCACCTCACCCCTGGACTACTGCAAGAGCCTCTGCTATGGGTTGATCTCCCTGCCTCAAGTATTTCCCCCTCCATTCTGTCCTTCACTCAGCCATCAAACTGATCTTCCTCACAGTACAGGTTGGAATCAAATATATAAAACTCTTATTTAAAGCCTTTCAAGTTAAAATCCTTTTGTCATTTAAAGCCCTTCAAAACCTGACTGCTTTCTACATTTCCAGTTTTCTTACTTATTCTTCTGCATTCTGAGACCCAATGACATTTTACTGTTTCTTACATAAGACATCCCATCTCTCCTGACTCTAGACATTTTCAATGGCTGCCCCCAATGCCTGAGAGTCTAAGGTCTTCTAGGTACTTGGATGAGGCCTTTTGACTGAGTCCAAGTTTTTCAGAACATATACTTTTATTAAGGGGATTTATTCTGAGAAGTTTGGATTCAGTCAGAGTCAAACTTGAGGACATAGAGGGCCACATGTGGCCTCGAGGCTGCAGGTTCCCCATTTGCCTTAGATTCTCCTTCCTTGTCTGTTTTCTTCAATGTTAACCCCCAAATCTCCCTTTATATTAGTGCCTTCCCTCTGTTGTAGCTCCAATTTATTCTGTACATATAAAAATTTGCTGTGTAAATAGTTTGCTTGTCATATTCCCCCATTAGACTGTGAACATCTTTAAAACAGAAAGCAGTTTTTTGCTTTTCTTCTTATTCTCAAAGCCTGGCACATAATAGGCAATTAATGACTGTTTGCTTTGACCCTCTAATAAGATCCTTAAAAACACAAAACATTTTTCAACTCATGATATCATTCTCTTAATCCCCGTATAACCTTCACAGTACTGTCAAGAGATAAGAGTCATAAGTTCTAACATTATTTTTGTCAAATTTCTGTCTTTTCTTTTTTTGAGTAAAGAGAAGCTGTTTAATCCTTTCAGAGAAATAAGAGAAACTTAACTGGTAGCTTTTTCACAAGCAGAAGCAACTCAAAGTTCATCTAATCTTCATCTTACTAACAGCTTCTGCACACATATGTCACTAGCATTTTCCATGCGTTATAGCTTCAGTAAATTATGTTGCAAAAGATATTGCTGCAACATAAGCAAGCCCAACAATGATTCAAAAGGGAAAAAAGTTAAACTTCGACAATTTTAATCTCTAATAATTTTGTATGCTAGACAGGCAATTAGTTTTATTTTCATGTAACTAGACAGCTGAAAATTTTTAGTTATTCTCAAGTTCTTCTGCCTCCTAAATTTCATTTACATTTTTTTTTTACAAGTGACTCTTTTCAGGCACCTGATTAAAATTTAGATTTTTACCCCCCCCAACACTTGTATTATATAGTAGGACAGCTGCATTAGAATTCTCCAAATCTTCGTTTCTTAGAGCTAACTATCCCAAGTTCCTTCAAATGATGCTCATATGGAATGGTCTCCAGCTTGATCAACTTTCTTTTAATGCATTTTAATTTGTCAGAATCCTTACAAAAATGTGGTTATCAGAAATGACTATAACCCTCCACTCTACATATGGTCTGACCAAAGAAGGGTATATTAGGACTGTCATGTCACTGATTATGAATTCAACATCTGCCAAAGATTGAAATGGCTTTTAAAAGATCTTTTTCTTTTTCTAAAAAAATTGTTTTTTTTTAATTTTTAGGCAAGTGGGGTTAAGCGACTTGCTCAGGGTCACACAGTTAGTAAGTGCCAAGTGTTTGGTCTGCAG